GGTAGGTAACAATGGGTGCATGGTAGGTAACAATGGGTGCATGGTAGGTAACAATGGGTGCATGGTAGGTAACAATGGGTGCATGGTAGGTAACAATGGGTGCATGGTAGGTAACAATGGGTGCATGGTAGGTAACAATGGGTGCATGGTAGGTAACAATGGGTGCATGGTAGGTAATAATGGGTGCATGGTAGGTAACAATGGGTGCATGGTAGGTAACAATGGGTGCATGGTAGGTAACAATGGGTGCATGGTAGGTAACAATGGGTGCATGGTAGGTAACAATGGGTGCATGGTAGGTAACAATGGGTGCATGGTAGGTAACAATGGGTGCATGGTAGGTAACAATGGGTGCATGGTAGGTAACAATGGGTGCATGGTAGGTAACAATGGGTGCATGGTAGGTAACAATGGGTGCATGGTAGGTAACAATGGGTGCATGGTAGGTAACAATGGGTGCATGGTAGGTAACAATGGGTGCATGGTAGGTAACAATGGGTGCATGGTAGGTAACAATGGGTGCATGGTAGGTAACAATGGGTGCATGGTAGGTAACAATGGGTGCATGGTAGGTAATAATGGGTGCATGGTAGGTAACAATGGGTGCATGGTAGGTAACAATGGGTGCATGGTAGGTAATAATGGGTGCATGGTAGGTAACAATGGGTGCATGGTAGGTAACAATGGGTGCATGGTAGGTAACAATGGGTGCATGGTAGGTAACAATGGGTGCATGGTAGGTAACAATGGGTGCATGGTAGGTAACAATGGGTGCATGGTAGGTAACAATGGGTGCATGGTAGGTAACAATGGGTGCATGGTAGGTAACAATGGGTGCATGGTAGGTAACAATGGGTGCATGGTAGGTAACAATGGGTGCATGGTAGGTAACAATGGGTGCATGGTAGGTAACAATGGGTGCATGGTAGGTAACAATGGGTGCATGGTAGGTAACAATGGGTGCATGGTAGGTAACAATGGGTGCATGGTAGGTAACAATGGGTGCATGGTAGGTAACAATGGGTGCATGGTAGGTAATAATGGGTGCATGGTAGGTAACAATGGGTGCATGGTAGGTAACAATGGGTGCATGGTAGGTAACAATGGGTGCATGGTAGGTAACAATGGGTGCATGGTAGGTAATAATGGGTGCATGGTAGGTAACAATGGGTGCATGGTAGGTAATAATGGGTGCATGGTAGGTAACAATGGGTGCATGGTAGGTAACAATGGGTGCATGGTAGGTAATAATGGGTGCATGGTAGGTAACAATGGGTGCATGGTAGGTAATAATGGGTGCATGGTAGGTAACAATGGGTGCATGGTAGGTAACAATGGGTGCATGGTAGGTAACAATGGGTGCATGGTAGGTAACAATGGGTGCATGGTAGGTAACAATGGGTGCATGGTAGGTAACAATGGGTGCATGGTAGGTAACAATGGGTGCATGGTAGGTAACAATGGGTGCATGGTAGGTAACAATGGGTGCATGGTAGGTAACAATGGGTGCATGGTAGGTAACAATGGGTGCATGGTAGGTAATAATGGGTGCATGGTAGGTAACAATGGGTGCATGGTAGGTAATAATGGGTGCATGGTAGGTAACAATGGGTGCATGGTAGGTAACAATGGGTGCATGGTAGGTAACAATGGGTGCATGGTAGGTAACAATGGGTGCATGGTAGGTAACAATGGGTGCATGGTAGGTAATAATGGGTGCATGGTAGGTAATAATGGGTGCATGGTAGGTAACAATGGGTGCATGGTAGGTAACAATGGGTGCATGGTAGGTAACAATGGGTGCATGGTAGGTAATAATGGGTGCATGGTAGGTAATAATGGGTGCATGGTAGGTAACAATGGGTGCATGGTAGGTAACAATGGGTGCATGGTAGGTAACAATGGGTGCATGGTAGGTAACAATGGGTGCATGGTAGGTAACAATGGGTGCATGGTAGGTAACAATGGGTGCATGGTAGGTAACAATGGGTGCATGGTAGGTAACAATGGGTGCATGGTAGGTAATAATGGGTGCATGGTAGGTAACAATGGGTGCATGGTAGGTAACAATGGGTGCATGGTAGGTAACAATGGGTGCATGGTAGGTAACAATGGGTGCATGGTAGCGAACAATGGGTGCATGGTAGGTAATAATGGGTGCATGGTAGGTAACAATGGGTGCATGGTAGGTAACAATGGGTGCATGGTAGGTAATAATGGGTGCATGGTAGGTAATAATGGGTGCATGGTAGGTAACAATGGGTGCATGGTAGGTAACAATGGGTGCATGGTAGGTAACAATGGGTGCATGGTAGGTAACAATGGGTGCATGGTAGGTAACAATGGGTGCATGGTAGGTAATAATGGGTGCATGGTAGGTAACAATGGGTGCATGGTAGGTAACAATGGGTGCATGGTAGGTAATAATGGGTGCATGGTAGGTAACAATGGGTGCATGGTAGGTAACAATGGGTGCATGGTAGGTAACAATGGGTGCATGGTAGGTAACAATGGGTGCATGGTAGGTAACAATGGGTGCATGGTAGGTAACAATGGGTGCATGGTAGGTAACAATGGGTGCATGGTAGGTAACAATGGGTGCATGGTAGGTAACAATGGGTGCATGGTAGGTAACAATGGGTGCATGGTAGGTAACAATGGGTGCATGGTAGGTAACAATGGGTGCATGGTAGGTAATAATGGGTGCATGGTAGGTAATAATGGGTGCATGGTAGGTAACAATGGGTGCATGGTAGGTAACAATGGGTGCATGGTAGGTAACAATGGGTGCATGGTAGGTAATAATGGGTGCATGGTAGGTAACAATGGGTGCATGGTAGGTAACAATGGGTGCATGGTAGGTAACAATGGGTGCATGGTAGGTAACAATGGGTGCATGGTAGGTAACAATGGGTGCATGGTAGGTAACAATGGGTGCATGGTAGGTAACAATGGGTGCATGGTAGGTAACAATGGGTGCATGGTAGGTAACAATGGGTGCATGGTAGGTAACAATGGGTGCATGGTAGGTAACAATGGGTGCATGGTAGGTAACAATGGGTGCATGGTAGGTAACAATGGGTGCATGGTAGGTAACAATGGGTGCATGGTAGGTAACAATGGGTGCATGGTAGGTAACAATGGGTGCATGGTAGGTAACAATGGGTGCATGGTAGGTAACAATGGGTGCATGGTAGGTAACAATGGGTGCATGGTAGGTAACAATGGGTGCATGGTAGGTAATAATGGGTGCATGGTAGGTAATAATGGGTGCATGGTAGGTAACAATGGGTGCATGGTAGGTAACAATGGGTGCATGGTAGGTAACAATGGGTGCATGGTAGGTAACAATGGGTGCATGGTAGGCATGGGTGCATGTAATCCGAGTGATGTAGAAAAGAATCATTTATAATCTGACTCGACAGCCTGTTGCCCCCTTGTGATCTGATTCTCACCTGGGCTCGTCTGATCCCCACAAACCCCAGTGCCGCCCGCAACTTGCCGCCCAGCGTCAGGAGATCCGAGGAGATCAGATCGGCGGGGTCCGAGGGGATGGGATGCAGCTTGCCGTCCCAAAAGACGTAGCGAGGCGCGTCAGGTGCTCCCAGCACGAGGTCGGACAGAATGCCACAGTCAAGCTGAGGGTGGCGGGGTTTGAGGGGATTGCAATGGAATCAGGGGGCAAAGGGAAGGTTAAGGAAGACGTAGTGAGGCGCGACGGGCGCTCCCAGCACGAGGTCGGAGAAAACGCCGCAGTCTGAGAGGGAAGAGGGAAGAGGGAAGAGGGAAGAGGGAAGAGGGAAGAGGGAAGAGGGAAAAGGGAAGAGGGAAGAGGGAAGAGGGAAGAGGGAAGAGGGAAGAGGGAAGAGGGAAGAGGGGGGGAATGACAACGAGGGATGAGGGAAGGGGGCGCAGCTCAGCTGCGGTGGAGTGGAAGGAAAACGGTGGGGAGTGGTATAAGTGGGGAAGGCGGAAGGGGAGGGGAGCCTGGGAGGGGATAGGGAGGAAATTGGGACCGCGGGTGCGGCAGGCAGGGCCAAGGAGGCCCATGGTGTATGGGGCTGGACGGTAGATGGAAAGAGCATGGAGAGAGGTGTCAGGCACCGGGCAGCTTTTGAGGCGCCTCAAGAGGTGTCAGGCACCGGGCAGCTTTTGAGGCACTCAAGAGGTGTCAGGCACCGGGCAGCTTTTGAGGCGCCTCAAGAGGTGTCAGGCACCGGGCAGCTTCTGAGGCGCCTCAAGAGGTGTCAGGCACCGGGCAGCTTTTGAGGCGCCTCAAGAGGTGTCAGGCACAGGGCAGCTTTTGAGGCGCCTCAAGAGGTGTCAGGCACAGGGCAGCTTTTGAGGCGCCTCAAGAGGTGTCAGGCACAGGGCAGCTTTTGAGGCGCCTCAAGAGGTGTCAGGCACAGGGCAGCTTTTGAGGCGCCTCAAGAGGTGTCAGGCACAGGGCAGCTTTTGAGGCGCCTCAAGAGGTGTCAGGCACAGGGCAGCTTTTGAGGCGCCTCAAGAGGTGTCAGGCACCGGGCAGCTTTTGAGGCGCCTCAAGAGGTGTCAGGCACAGGGCAGCTTTTGAGGCGCCTCAAGAGGTGTCAGGCACCGGGCAGCTTTTGAGGCGCCTCAAGAGGTGTCAGTCACCGGGCAGCTTTTGAGGCGCCTCAAGAGGTGTCAGGCACAGACAGGGCAGCTTTTGAGGCGCCTCAAGAGGTGTCAGGCACAGGGCAGCTTTTGAGGCGCCTCAAGAGGTGTCAGGCACCGGGCAGCTTTTGAGGCGCCTAAGAGGTGTCAGGCACCGGGCAGGCCGGCAGGCGAAAGGGAGAGCAGGAATGAAAGACTCAAGAACGACAGATAAGGGTGATGATCAATCGAGTAACTGATGGGAGGGGGGATGAGAGAAGTGAGATTTCACATATCCACATCACACACGACGGCAAGGTTTTCTTTAAACGCGTATGCTAGTGCCTGGTTGCACCACTTTAGCATACGGGGTATGCAAAGCAACTCTAGACGCAGTGCAGGATGGTAACCCGGTAACTCACAGCGCACTGCAGCATGGCGTCGCTGGGTTGAAAGCTGTGAGGCCCCTCCTCCCACACGTACCCCTCGTTCTCAGTTCCCGCCTCCCCCACCATTGTAGTCACATTCCCTCCAACGCGTTCCCGCGCCTCCGTTACAAGCACGCGCGGCACGGCGTCCGCGTGCCGCGTCGCCAGCGCGAACGCCGCTGACATCCCCGAAATCCCCGCGCCCACCACCACGCAATCCGCTTCCTCCGCGATCTCCGGTTCGGAGTCATTCGCTTTATAAGGAACCTCGCTACTCGTTAAGGCTGCCTGCCGTCGCCATTTGCCTGTTCGCCGTGCGACAGTAACACAGTTACCACCGTCGCCGGGACCGCACGGAATCAAGCGGCGGTCTCGGCGGCGGGAGAGAAACAGCGCTTCGTCTGCGCGCGGGTTCCGCCAATCCCCGCGCATTCCGCGCAATCCCCGCACGGCCGCGTGCGTGGGATGGGCGGAACGCGCAGAGCGCGGAAGGAATGGCTCGCGCCGTGGGGAGGAGCGAGGGGGGAACGAGTCAGCAGCGACGACGACTGGCGGGGCGCGCGTTGACACGAGCCCTTGCGACGCGAGCGAGAACCGAACGGCCATGATGCGTCGATGCGACAGAATGAGATTAGCGGATTGGCGTAAGCGAATGGGATGCTGCGGAGAAGCTAGCGGCGCGTGGTGTCGCTGAAGAGTGTCGCAGGAATCGCACAGTGCATTTTCGCACGGCCTGGGCAGTCTTGATTTTTTAGGCAGCTCGAGGACACTCTAGCGCAATCGAGACCACTTCGTAGAAGGTGGAACCAGTTAGAGACTACTGAGACTTCCAGTCATGACTGGGCGACTCGAGTTTCAGTGCAACTTGTTTCAGTACTAACGCCTGTGGTGGATGGAAGGAATTTGTACGCCTTATGCGAAAGATATTGCTCCAGAGCATTTAGGGGAATAGAAATGAAACTTACTCAATATGGCATCACACACCAGTGGTAGATTAGCTACCCCACTTCACGAAATTTACTTTCAGCTTGTGCCTAGTGATATGGAAGCCATTAGAATCGAATATGATACTTGCAGCAGCGTTACTATGGATATAGCATCGGAAAATGTTTTTCTACTACCATTTTTTGTCCGTGTACCAATCTAGCTGCCTTCAAGTGTTATAGTAGGAACAGGGCTCTTGTGTCAAATGTTGTAGCCTGTAGTGAGGCTTGTCTTAGGGGGTACAAATATTAGGGTTTGCTATATGTACCCCAACCCACATCAATGAACACACAATTCAGTTTCTGACATGGTATCACCTAGGTTAGGATCCTGTAGGATCCCGTTCCTCTTGCCCGAGCCTCACGCGCATCACCCGTCCCGTCCCGTCTCGTAGCGCTGCAGTAGCGCCCCTTTCGTACGCCCGTCCGGCGCGCACCTGCGATAACGCTTGCCGCAGCGCGTTCTGCCCGTTCTCGCGACCGTCCCGTCCCGTCCCCCGTCCCGTCACACGCCTGCCCTAAGCACCCGCCAGCGGGCCTGCCCTTAGTGCCCGCCGTGCACCTGCCCTAAGCGCCCGCCGCGCCCTCCCTAAGCGCCTGCCAGCGGGCCTGCCCTTAGCGCCCGTCGCGCGCCTGCCCTAAGCGCCCGCCGTGCCTGCCCTAAGCGCCCGCCGCGCTGTCAGAATGTGATGTTTGTCTAGCCTGCAGTGGGGTACTCTATAGCGAGTACAACCCGAATTAGGGTTTGCTATATGTACTCAACTGCCTGCTAGTGAAAATCCCTTCTTCTTGTTTCTGATCCTAGCCTGCTGTTTTAACATGCTATCAGAGCAGGTCGACCCTCCTGGGTCGATCCTGTGGGTGGTCCCGCCCGATGCTTCCGCTGCTGTCCTGCCTATCGCACGCCCTGGGCGCGCGATGTTTGCTGCCTGCCGCGCGCTCAGGGCGCGCGAGGTTTTTTTTCTTCCCGCCGCGCGCTCGGGGCGCGCGGCGGTTTTCTGCCCCGTCGATCCGCGCGTCGCCCCCCCGTCGACGGTCGCGTCGCCCCCCGGGACCCTGTCAGACGCCCTGGGGAGCCGCGCGCGGCCCCCCGCAGCCTCGTCGCGACGCCCTGGGGAGCCGCGCGCGGCCCCCGCTGCCCCGTCGCGGCGCCCTGGGGAGCCGCGCGCGGCCCCCGCTGCCCCGTCGCGGCGCCCTGGGGAGCCGCGCGCGGCCCCCGCTGCCCCGTCGCGGCGCCCTGGGGAGCCGCGCGCGGCCCCCCGCTGCCCCGTCGCGGCGCCCTGGGGAGCCGCGCGCCATCCCCCGAGCTGCTGCCCGCGCACCGCCCCCCCCGCTGCTGCCTGTGTTAGGGTTTGGGGGTGGTAAGCATGGGGGTGGCGAGTATGGGGGTGACGGGTGTGTGTGCGCTGTCCCCTGCTCCTCCTCCTTCTCAGTCTCTCTCCCACTGCTGCAGCTGCCGCTGAGGGGGGTGGATGTGTTGGAGCCGTCGGAGTGGTACGAGGGGGGTGGCGTGTGAGCAGTGCTAGAGGTACAGCAGGGGGTGTGTGAAAGGGGTGTGGGACAGCTGGGGGAAGTTGAGTGGAGGCAGCCGTCTTGTCGTCCGCAGCGCCTGTAGTCCAGAGAGCCAGCTGCGTCTGTGGCCGTGTAGTCCGGGGCTCTGCGCCTGGTAGCCACAGTGTGAGCACTCCTGGTAGTCCAGAGAGCCAGCTGCGTCTGTGGCCGTGTAGTCCGGGGCTCTGCGCCTGGTAGCCACAGTGTGAGCACTCCTGGGAGCACAGAGAGCCAGCTGCGCCTGTCGCCGTGTAGTCCGGGGCTCTGCGCCTGGTAGCGACAGTGCTGCGCACTCCTATTCCCCGTGAATCTGCAGCTTCAGCCGTCGCCTCCCATCTTCTCGCCCCCACAGTTTCTCCTCCTCCTCACTTGCCCTCTGTGATAGTCTCTAGCTTTGCTTATCATTGTGAACTACTGCTCTGCTTGCTTGTTGTGTTGATTGTATGCCAATTAGACTATGGGGGTGTGTCAGAATGTGATGTTTGTCTAGCCTGCAGTGGGGTACTCTATAGCGAGTACAGCCCGAATTAGGGTTTGCTATATGTACTCAACTGCCTGCTAGTGAAAATCCCTTCTTCTTGTTTCTTATCCTAGCCTGCTGTTTTAACACGCGCCTGCCCTAAGCGCCCGCCAGCAGGCCTGCCCTTAGTGCCCGCCGCGCGCCCTCCCTTCGCGCCGCCGCGCCTGCCCGTTAAACCCGCCGCTGCGCCTACTTGTTAGGCCCGCCGCGGGCCCTGCCTTCCCGTCGCCGTGCCTGCCCGTTACGCCCGCTGCCGCGCCCGCCCATTAGGCCCGCCGCGGGCCCTGCCTTCGCGCCGCCGCGCCTACCCGTTAACCCGCCGCTGCGCTCGCCCGTTCGCCCCTGCCACGCCTGTCAGCTACGCCCGCCGCGGGCCTGCCCCTTGCGCCCGCCGCGCATGCGTTTTGTGCCCGCCGCGGGCCTGCACTCGCTGCCCACCGTCTCTCCCCGTGCCACCTGCCCCGCCTGCCCGTGCCACCTGCCGTGCCTGCCCTTAGAGCCTGCCGCGGCCCTGCCCTACCTGTCCGCCGTGCCTGCTTGTGCTGCCCGCCGTGCCTGCCCTTAGAGCTCGCCGCGCCGGCCCTTTGCGTCCCTCTGGCATCCGCCGCGTGCCTCCTTTTGCTTGTGCGCCTGCTCTGCGCATGCCCACGCGCCTCTCGCCCAACCGCTTGTCTCCTTGCCGTGCTTTTTGCCCTGCCCTCGCCTGCCACTGCGCCCTGCCGGCCTTGTAGTTTCTGCTTTCGCTATGGCGACTCCTAGGGTCCTTCGCTTTGACGCCGAGGGTAGGCCCCTCGAGTTCTCTGTCTGGCTCCAGCGTGCGCAGCGTCTCCTAGAGAGTCAGGTGCAGGCAAATGAGTCTCTGTGGGCGCACGCATCCAGTGACCTCCCCGCGCCCCCTGCTCCTGCTACCCTAGGACCTGACGCTACCTCTGAGGACAGAGAGCGTGTTGCACGTCAGCGTGCTGACCTTACTGCCTAGCGATCACGCGATGCTGCGGCCTGCATCGCCCTCAGCAGCCTCCTCCCAGAGTCGGAGGAGACCCATTTCGCACAGGTTCGCACGGCTGGTGAGTTCTTGACTGCGATTAAGGCCCGCTATGCTACTCCTTCCACTGTCTCTCTTAGCCGCCTGTTCCTCCCCTTCCTGTTCCCTGACCTCGCCTTGTTTGAGCGCTCTGCTGACCTGATTGCTCACCTACGCTCACTTGACGCTAGCTTTCGCGCTGCTTGCACTGACGACCAGCTTGCACTGCTGCCTCCCCCCATGGCGATCACTATCTATTTCATCGCCACTAGCCTCCCTGACCGCCTTGCTTCGGTTCGTGACGCGCTTCTTCTGAAGCACCCTAGCGAGCTCACTATCGGCGTCCTTGAGTCTGCTCTCAAGGGCGTCAAGAGCAACCTCCGCTCCGTAGCCTCCGCCTCTGGTGCTGTGCCCCCTCCACTGTTTCACGGGTGCACTGTCCCTCAGCTGCCCACCTTTACTGCCTCCCTCGCCACTGCCGCTACTGACGTGACCGCAGTTGCTGTTACGACATCTTCGCGTTCCCGAGGTAGGGGTGGCAAGAGGAGCGGTCAGGGTGCGGGTGGGGGCGGCGGAGGCGGCGGGGGTGTCGTGGCGAGCGGTGGCGGCGGGAGTGCAGTGGCTGGAGGAGCGCCTCGTGCAGCGGCTAGTGACTCCCCTGCTGCAGCTGGTGGAGGTGACATCCGGATTCGTCAGCCTCCTACTGGTCTGCCAGCCGCTGGGGGTGGAGCAGCGGCGTGGTACCTGGCTCAGCGGTAGCAGCAGCAGCAGCAGCAGCAGCAGCCCCTCCCCTCGCAGCAGCCCCAGCAGCTGCAGCTGCAAAGATAACTACAACAACGGGAGCTAGACTCCGGGCTTGGCACGGATGCTCGTGTGATCTCTGCGTTCGTTCACTTAGTCGTTTCCTAGTGCACACACTGCTTGCTAGTTCATGGGGAGATTTTGCAAGAGTTTCATTAAGAAAGGTTGACAACAATGGTTCAGAATGATTCAACATTGGTAACACATACTACATCAGACCTAGCAAAGCTGTTGGTCGACTGCCAGCGCAGCACGGTCGATCGCGTGCAAGCACGACTTGGTCGACCGCTCTCCAGCAGTACAGAGTCTCGGCTTGCCCATGCTGCTGGTCGACGGTGTGCCAACGCTGCAAGTCGACGGCGTGCCAGCGTTGCTCCTGCAGTCCAGCATCGCACCAGCTTCGCAGGTGCTCGCAGATGATTGGCGTGCTGTGCCTCGTCACCTGCACAGCGCACACACCAAATCGTCCTTGTGCTGACGACTGCTTCTGATCAGCTGCGTCGGCTTCGGGATACCATCACCGAGGTCGTTCTCGCCAAAACCACCTGGGCGACTGACGCACACTTCCGCAGCACTTCGTCACCCAGGTAATTTGGTCGACCGGGCAACCGCGTCGACCAGCTGCTCCCGTATGTGCCTGTCGACCTCCCAGGTCGACGGCCACCTCCGGTTGACCTCCCCAGGTCGACCACTCCCATGGTCGACCAGCTCCAGGTCGCCGATACTC